AGGCAAGTGGAAAAAAAAGTCTGGTCAGAATAACTCCTTTATATATATAAAAAAAATTCACTTTATTTGTAATAGCTATCCAACAAAAAGAAAAAAACTCTTGGTCCCACACGTCTGGTTTTATTTTATTATAGTAAAATTTTATCAACTTTGATCATTTATATTTGAAAATATTTGTAAGTTAATTTTTTATAAAATTATAATTGAAAACTTTCCCATTCAAAGATTTTAGAAAATATTATCTTATATTTTAATTAGAAATATATTTAAAATAAAATGAAGTTAAAAGAAAAAAAAATTTACTTTTAAAAATGAAATTAGAACATTATTTATGGGACATTAAAGGCACCAATCCCACTTCTTTGCTTTTTAATTTTGCTTCATAAACGGTAAGATATATAGATAATAATAAAAAAAAAAAAACAAAAAACAAAAAGCAAAAAGGAGCAGAGTATGCAAGTACCTACTTGAGGCCTGAGTTTTCAGTTGTCAACAGAAGTCGAAGCTATCTATGCCTTTTGTGTAAATACGTAAGGGAAAGAGATATTCTCACATTATCTGAACTCTGAAGGACAACTAAAAACAATACTGTGTACCACAACATATGCACTAAAAAACCTGCCTTTACAGTAATTATAATGCTTAAATTTATCAAACTATTTTTGGTACATGAGACCTCTTGTCCATTTGATAACAACGTTAAAACTATTTTCATTCGTGGATTCTTTTTTTTTTTTTTGGGTGAAAAGATGTCTACATATACTCTTTAAAAATTAAAAAATAATAAAATTTGAAAGAAATTTTTTTAATGCTCTCAAAAATACAAAAAAAAATAAAATAAAATTTAAAATAAGATATTTTTTAAAAATATTTTTTTCGTTTATAAAATTAAAAATATATTCACACGTTTTTTATATATTATAAATAAATATCTTAAAAGAAAATTTAAATCTGTAAGTGACAACCGATACGTACTTACCTTCTCTTTCTCTTTCTCTTTCTCTTTCACTTTCACTTTCCATTGCATTTTGTGGGTTGGTTTTCGTTTTTCTTTCCAACCCTATTCTAGTAGACATAATGTTTGTTGTTCCCTTAGTGTTTCAGAGTGAAAGAGAGAGAAATAGGAAGTGAGGGTCGGTATCTTGTCACCACATCACAACACAGCACAGCAGCAGATCATCAGGAAACATGGACATGCTGATGAGGGAAGAAACCAGTTGCTACATCTTAGCTGCTATCATTCTGGCTACTCCCTACTTCTTTTCTGATTGTCATAGTTTCAATTTCACAAAATTAGATCATTCAAATTATTTTACCAATGTGGCTTACAGATCAGTTGAAAGTTCAGTTCTGGGTCTGCTTTACTTTTTGAAAAAGTACAACAAGTTAATTTTTAAAAATGCATATTAGTACTAATTGCTATCTGATTTTATTCAGGATAAGCCTAAAGCAGTAGCTATAAGCCTACTCGTACTAGAGTTGCAATATATTATATATGGCGCCATCACAATCTTTTCTGTTGACATAAATTTGGTTAGATTCTGTCTTTCTTATTTATCCATTACTGAATTTCTTTTATCTATCGTCCAATCAAATATAATATGATATTATATTATATATATATATATGTGCTTATTATAGAAAATTTATAGATGTAACTATTTACATGAATAAATTTTTTTGGCTACATAATTTTTTTTTATAACAACAAATAAGTAATTTCTTAATTTTAGAGTATTTATAAAAAATATATATATGTTTGATTCATAATAAAAATAAAAAATTAAGTGTTTAATTTATGAATTATGAATTATTTAAAATAATTGAAGAAATATGTAGAATATGAAAATATTTTTATCTAATAAAAATGAAAAAAATTTAAAATGATAGGCAAAATCATTTTATTTATAAATTATCTTACAATATTATTTAAAATATTGAAAGTATATAATTATAAATTTTAAATAAATGATGATGATATATAATATAATCAAATTAATATATTATATATGAGTCATTTATTTTAAAATAGAAAAAAAATAATATTTTTATCATTGATACCCCCATCAATTGATCAAAAACAATTATTCATAAATCCAAGCAAGCAATGAGATGATCATTTTTCTTCTAAAAATGATAGTATTTATTTTTCTTCTAAAAATGTATAATTATATACTTTCAATATTTTAAATAATATTGTAAAATAATTTATAAATAAAATGATTTTGCTTCCCATTTTAAATTTTTTTCCTTTTTATTATATAAAAATATTTTCATATTCTACATATTTCTTCAATTATTTTAAATAATTCATAATTCATAAATTAAACACTTAATTTTTTATATTTTTATTATGAATCAAACATATTATAAATATATATATATGTATTTTTAAAATAAAAACTTTAAGATCAAGATGTGAAATTAATTTTTTATAAATAAAAAATTAGATTATATATTTTTTTATTAAAATAATATAAAAATTAAAATAAATTAAAAAATTAAAGTTATAAAAAACATAATAAAGACTCTGTGCATTTCACATGTTAAAAAAACTGGTTACAATTCAATAAAATAAAAGATAAAAAAAAATGTTAAATCTACATCATATTTAGTTCGTTCAATCATATGATACTGAATAAATTTATATTTTAAAATTTATAATTTTTTATTATCTTTAAATTATAATATATTTATATAAAAATATAAAAAATTTAATAAGACATTATATAACATATACGTTATAATTTTACATTAAAATAAAATATAATCAATTTAAAAAACTTATTGTTTGAGGATTTGAATTTGAATGCATCGTGTTAAAATTTTGGATACTTAAAATTGAATGTTAAAAAGTCATTCAACAAAACGTTAAAATGTTTGATAATTTGATGATTCAGTTACTAAAAGCAAATTTCTAAAAATTGTTATCCATTAAGTTGTTTTTATATGAATAATTCTCGATAGGGTAAGAAGAACAAAAGAACTGTTGGATTACAGCAAAAGAAGGAGAGGAAAAGACTGACAAAAGTAGAGCGGAGAGGGCAATGGCAGAGGTGAGAGAGGAAGGGAGAGCAATTTGTGGGGATGTGTGGAGTTGGTGTAGGGCAGAGGCACGTGTAGCCACTTTAATCCCTTCTTCTCTCACAACTCTCGACGTCTTATTTTACACACCTTCTCACTCAATTCATTGGTGCCAACCCCCCCCCCCCCCATGACCTTTTTGATTGAACATATCTGCATTATAATTAATCAATTAATTTTTAAAATATATAAAATTTAATAAAATATTATATAAATTTTATTTTTATAAGTGTTGAATTTTTATATAATTTTTTTATTATAATATTATAATAAAAAGAATTATAATTAAAATGATTTTTTATTGAGATTGTTAATTTTATTTTTTAATTTTTTATTTGAATAAGGATGAAAATTGGTATTAAGTTTTACTGATAAAAATGAGTATGATTTTAAGTAGTGAATGGTAATATAACACTCATTTTATACTCATATATATATATTTTTTATATATTTGATAAATAAATTTTTATTTAATAATATAAACTTTTGTATTAGATTAATTTGATCTAATATATTTTTATTAAAAATATATATTTATAAAAATTTATATAAATATATAAGATAAAAATAAAAAACTAAAAAATTATTTTTATTTTTTATTTTTTAAAAAAACTACAAGTATGTAAATTATTCGTATTCATTAAATTCTCACAAAAATAAAGATGAAAATAAATTTAGAATATCCGTTAAATATAAATACAAAAATAAATATAATATAAAAAACCAAAGATCATGATAAGAAATATTCTACTCATCCCCTACCCTACCATTAACATCCTTAGCCTTAATTCTCCTCTCACTCATCCTTCTGTTTTTATTTTAAAAACCATGGCATATTAATTAAGGTTTAATGTTTCAAACAATTTCTAAACTATAGTAAAATATTCAATATAATATTTAAACTTTAAAAATTTTTAATTTAATACTTGAATTATAAATTTGTTAATTAATATAATATTTAAAAGACTATTAATTGATCACATGGTATTATTTGAAATTAATCATATGATATATAAGTATCATATTACTTAAAAATTTTATAATTTAGATATGACATTAAAATTTTTTTTAATTAAAAAATCACATTAAAAAATTTACTATGCTTTAAAGGTGGTTTGAGACATTGATCCTATTAACTAAACTTGTAAAATCATCCATTTCTATTTTTTGAATTCTCTGGTCTCATAAATGATTTATCTTGATACAATAGAGTAGAGATGAACAATAAAAAAAAAAAAAACTCAAATATGAAATGACACAAAACTTGAAATTACCATAATTTTTATAAATTTGATATTCCATAATTTTTTATGCTAAAAAGTAAAAAAAAAAAATCATTAAAAAATAATTTGAAAATATAAAAAAAAGAGATTTAAGTATTTAATAAAAGATATAGTTTTGGGTATAAAAAGGGAGATTAAAAATAAGACAAAATGAGTATTATTTATTCAAATGTATGAATTTCATAATTTACAATAATATTCTATATATGATTAATCCTTTCTATCATGCTAGAAAGTGCACATCGAGTGATGAAATTGGTCCCTATTGTCATGCCATAGAAAATCAAGTAATTAATTTATACTACTAAAGTTGGAATAACTTACATGTTTATCTTTATTTTTTATAAATAATTAAGAGATATATGTAAAATTGAACCTCAAATTTAATTCATTTCATAATTATTCTTAAAAAATAATATTCAATAAATTTAATATTCGAATACATGAATAATTCTTTTTCAATTTTTAAAATATAATTTCTTTTGAAAAAAAAAATACCAAATAAAAAAATAGCTTAATTACCATGGCATTGAAAACTTGAGAAAGCAAAAAGGGGGCAGAGGCAGACCCCTAGGCATTGCTCTGAATTAACGGGTTTAAAAGTGTGAAAAGATTGCAATCAGTCCCCACTCCCAATTGGATGATGCATTGGCTACAAATGCTGCTTCCACAATAAGTGGCACAAACCATTTGTTTTCATCTACGGTTAGACCAACCACTAATACAAACACTATCCTCTCCCTTGGCCCTTCACCACTTTCTTCTAAACTTTTGCCCAAAAGTTTAATAGGAAGAAGTGATGGATGACTCTTTTGTCTCTTTACTCACAACCATTTAGTGCGTTTTATCCATCAAAGACTAATTTCTCTAATTATCATCTCTAGCAGTCGTTCTCAAACTCTAGTACACTACTCTCCCCTGGTTGGCAGAGCTATAGAGAACCTGAAACCATGATAAAATGGGACTGAATTCTTTCCTTCATTTGCCAGTTCCTCATTAAATTCTCTTGCAGTGAATCTCCACATGTTCAAGAGAAGTTAGGGTTTCTAATTTTGTAAACATAAGACGCCAAAAATGTTCTCTTCAACCAACAATATCAACCCTTTTTCTCACCTTCCTTCTTCTTCTTACCATCCCCTAGCTCTTCCTCCTCCACCTCCTCTTTTAAGTCATGACTCTAATGACATTTTCCTTAATCACCACCATGATCTGGTGTCTGCTAGTTCATTGTTGCCACCTAACGAGTACTCTTTAATTAACATGGCACTGTTAAATAATGCCACAATGATTAAACAGGATGGTGTTAGTGGACTTCATGGGGAATGTTTTAGTGCTTCAGGTTTTAGTATTCCTGCCAAGAAGCCTGTAAAGAAAGATCGACATAGCAAGATTTGCACTGCCCAAGGGGTGAGAGATAGAAGAGTGAGGCTGTCCATAGAAATCGCCCGCGAGTTCTTTGATCTTCAAGACATGCTAGGGTTTGACAAAGCAAGCAAAACCCTAGAATGGTTGCTTACAAAGTCAAAAAATGCCATTAGAGAGCTGGTAATGATGAAGCATGGGAATGGTTGTAGCGGATCAGGTCAAAGGAGTTTGTCTTCGAGCCCTGAGTGCGAAATGGTAGCTCAGAATGGAGAGCTTGATAAGGAGGGGACAGCTTTGAAAAGCAAGTCACCCGAGCTAGAAGGTGTTGTTTCTAAAGAGAAAAAGATGAAAAAGTTACACAAAGTAACAGTCCCTCTTCTTGTAAAAGAGTCAAGAGCAAAGGCAAGGGCGAGAGCAAGGGAAAGGACTAGAGAAAAGATGTGCACCAGGAATAGTACTAGTACACATGATCAGTGGAAAAGATGTCCAGATGCAAGCCCTCAATTCTTGAACCAATTAAGGTCTTTGACCCATCTTGAAGTATCCAAGAAATCAGATCATTCTTATGGCCACAACCACAACATGGCATCCTCCTTTAAAATTGTTGCTCATCAAGTTGAAGAACCTAGGGCTAGTCCCTCCCAGTTTACAAGTGCAGCACCAAGAGAAAATGTTGTCGAGGAATCTATAGTGATCAAAAGGAAGTTGAAGCCATCTACAATTTTGGGTTATCAACAAAACCTCGCAGCTTCAAAGGATGTAAGTTGCAACAGCAGTGGCAATAACTACTTTCCCAATTTGCCTCAGAATTGTGACATCAATGGTGCAATGGCACACTACCTTTTGCGCTATAACTAATGTCAAGCTGTCAACAGGTATCATCCAAGAATACATATATGATCCTTTTCTTATATTTGTTTATCTAACTTCATATATTATATATAATTAATTTCAGTCTTAATTTTCAGGAGTTCAAGTATATGGCAAACCGTGAGAGGCCTGCTTACAATCAATGACTACGGTACTTATGCAGTGCATGAGCATCAAAGATGTAAGCTATAATTTTTGTTGTTTCTTTTAGGTTTGATATAGCAATCAAAAATCTTTGAATGCTTACTTTTCTTTTGAATCTCTCAATGGCTGGCCTCATGGGGTTAGAAATTAGTATAAATTAATGAAGAAGTTTCTCTAGCTTCCATCTCTATTTTTGTTTTTGTACATTTCTTTTATTAATTCCAACAATTCTCCTCCATCTTCTCCCCTTTTTTTTTTTGGTTATTTGAGGATTATCTGATGATGAGCAGATAGTATGCCAAGAAAGTTAGCCTTATATTTGATTGAAGTACTCAAGAATCAAGGCATTAAATGGAAGTACAGAATTCAGTGGATGGTATCTTTTGTGGTATATTTTTGGCTGATTTTTATGAGATAAGTAATATTAGCCTTAAATTTGACTGAAGTACTCAAGAATCAAGGCGTTAAATTAAAGTACATAATTCGGTGGATGGTATCTCTTGTGGTATACTTTTGGCTGATTTTTATGAGATAAGTAATATTTTGTCTGGGACTGCTACTGACACCAAATGATAAGTAAGATTAACTGAACTGAATAAAGATTTGCTTACTAGAATCATATGAATTGAACCAGGAAAATGGTTAATGAACAGACATCTAAGAAGGAATTATTATTTTAAGGGGAACATGTAAGCATGCATGTAACTGAGCAGAAATTTCCTAGCTAGGAGAGTTAACAATCTTAATTCATTTTCACTGACAACTGTTTAACCAGTCAGAAAAGTCCTTTTGAAGAGTACTGAAATTGATATTCAACAAATATTGAAGATGGAAACTGATCTAATTTTAAAGGTGGAAAAGAAATGAGAGAAGTAACTGAAGCCTCCTCAAGAGGTTTATTCAGCTATAAGTTAGGAATGTTGAAGCATCTTGTTGCTCTATAGTATGAAATTCATGGAATAAAAGTGCAAATATGTGTGTGATTAAATATTTGAAAAAAATTAAAAATATTTCATCTAATAATTTCAGTTATAAGAATAACTTAGTATATAATGAGGAGAAAGAAAAGGAAATACTAAAAAAATTTTCACACTAAAATTAAGAGAAAAATAGAAATTATGAGGAAGAATTAGCTATTAGGTAGGATAAAAATCCAATTTAATTATTTTAAACATTTAAAAAAATAATATCAGTTTGTGTAACAATAAGTCAGGAGTGCTATATATAATACCTACAATGGTATTAACCGCATTGAAGAAAGAATGAAATTCTCAAAATTCAAGATGCATGTCCTATTCCAAAAAAAAGGTAGTATGCCATATATGTATTAGGCAATGTTTTGTGATCTAAGCACCCTTCACTTCCTTTAAAGCAATGGTTGTTTCTTAGTCTCCTACATTTAGATGCAAAGGAGTCGCTAGATGAGGAGTATATATATATATATATATGCTAAACCTGTCCAACAAGGGCAAAATTAAAGTTAAAGACAAAGGAAACTCTCCAACACTATGCTCTCACTCGCCCTTATATTACCTCCAAAAACTTTTGGGGAATTAAACAGAATTACACACACACACACACAAATGGTTTGGACTTGTTAAGTCAAATTTATCTATCAATTCAGTTTATGGGTTAATGACATCCATATATGTTGAATTTGCTAAGTAGATTTTACTTTTGCAAGAGTTATCTAACTATAGGCTAATAAACCCTTCATGACTAACATGGTATTTTCTCTCTTTACTTGGCTGTATATATATATATCTACAATGTGAAAGCACAGATTAAACTAAGAGAGTAGTAAGTTATTCAGTCTATGGATCGACTATACCTAGTTTATTTAAAGTCTATGTGGTATTATACTACTTATTGCCTAACTGCTTGCTAATGATGTTTGCATTCCTAATGTCCTGCCTGAACTTGTTATTGGAGGATCAGTTTTTACTACAAAATTGTGGTTAGTGCTTTCCTGTTGTGAAGCAAATATCTTACCAGTGAGTAACTTCATATATATATATATATATATATATATATATATTCTAAAAAAAATTGATATAAAAACTGAAAGAATTTGAGCTTAGGGACACTTTTCCTCTCAAAAACACATAACTGAAATTGATGGAGATACAAAGTAAATGCACATATGCTACACCATAGCAGATCTTACTTACCCCTATCTCTGTGCTGGTAAGAAACCCTAAAAATCTTTTAATCCTGTATAAATCCTAGTAATAGAGGACAAAATTGGATCATAGAGCTCCTTAATGCAATCTCCAAATTAAATAACTTTTGTGAACATTATGCATGGTTGCATTTCTACCCTTAGCTTGTACTCGGATGCATTGATAATTATAGAAATGTTCATTTAGATTATTGCTTTGATAATGTGAAAGAAAATATTTTTCTCAAGCCTTGTACATTTTGTATGCTTATCATAATACAAACTGTATTGAGTCTGTTAATTAGAAATTTTTGACAACTTAATAATTTATAGAAATTATCAAATTAGATTTGAAAAGAAAATCTTACCTGAAAATTTCATGTCTAGTTTATATTGACTACAAATTTCATTGTACAAACAAATAAAACCTTCTATATATATATATATATATATTTATCAATTTCAAATCTACATGTTTATTTTTGTTCTAAGGGTTTTACAAAAAAGAACATGTTATTAGTATTAGGCAACTTCTTTAGTAGGGAGGATCACCAAATTTTTTAACAGAATCAAGAAAGTTCTCATAACTTTCTCTCATTTCTGATACAGAAAAAAAATCAATTAAACTTTTTTGGAGTTGAAAATCAAGATGTAACTCACTTTGGAGTTGAAGTGAAGAAAATAAAATAATATATATGAATTAATGCACTTAATAAGTATAGAATACATTATTTTAGCTTGGATATTTTACAATGATATGTATATTTTATATGGTGAAGACAAAAGCTTTAGAACAACTGAAGAATTAAGAGGGAGGTGGATCTAAAGTTGTAATTAGACAACCAGATCAAGTGAAAGGTATTAAAAATGAATTTAAAGTTGTGGCAGAAATCTTTCTTTCATAGAGGGGAAAGAGGGGACTGGTCTGATATTGCCTTGTCTGCTTCAAAGGTAACTCGTTCTAAATCATGCAAAATTCTTTTACCTCATGCAATGATTATATAGTCTTTCATTGCATTAGCAATGATGAAAATCTTTTCTTAGATAATTTTTTGTACCATTCAATGATAGGGTATTTCCTTGAAAGTTTACAATAAAATGATATTAAACAATTCTCACAATATGGACTTTGAATCCATTTAACAAATTAAGGTATATTTTTCTACCAAAATTGATTAACAATGTTGTCATTAACACAACTTCTAGAGGAAGAAAATTGATAGAATGTTGTGATATTTGAAGTAAATCCCATAATCTCATTCTAATGTAGTTGTTACTTTATGAAATAAGCTGCTAGTAATCAGAAAAGAAGAAGAGAAAACATAAATGCTGATTTATTAATGGTGTATAATCTTTTGAGGTGCATGTATGATCCTAGTCTTAAATAAAACATTTAAAGAAAGTTATATCAATAAGTCTATCAGCATATCAGTACACTTTGATCTTTACCCTTTTTGATCAATCATTCAATACCATAGTCAAATTTATGAAAAAGTCTGTTTCACCTTCTATGTTGAAAACTGCTACATTCTGTTCATATGTCCTATTCAACTTTAGTTCTTTGCTTAAACTATTTCTATATGTGTGTGTGTGCAAGTGTAATTTACAATTCGGAATGGTTCATTAACTCAAACAACCACGCATGTGCCTATTTTACATAACATGATTGATAGACTCTTTACATGAGATAGAAAAGATCATAATCTCATCACAAGCGATATCAAAGCAATTTTCATCTTTCATGTGCATTGATGTCTCCTTAACTGCTCCTGCCTCTCTAGAAATAGATGTTCTCTTTTTCTTTCTATGAGACAAATGTGTTCCTTTTCTCTATCTGTGCTCTAGTTTTACATATTTAACAACGCATGTGTTCTCACTTTTAAGCTTTAAAGTAGGCATCTAGTCAATGATGAGTTCTCCTTAAAAATTCTGTTGTGTTCTGCATAAATTTTTTTATCAGGTATAACAGTTTTGTCTTGAGTAGTGTAGAGGGGAGAGTACCGTAGGAAAAACTATGTTGTCTTGAGGACAGTCGTTATCCTATAACTATAGAGGAACATTACTTTTTGATGTTCAAATCTTGCAACGTTGTCACCTATCAACTCTTGGCTAGCTACTAACCAGCTAATTCTAAACACAACTCTCTGTCCTCTTACCTTTTGATTAAAAAAGGTTAATATTTTGAATGGCCCCTAAAACTATAATGAAATGTTCATAGTGGTACATAAATTTTAAAAATTTTTAATATGATATCAAAACTATGAATCTAATTAATGTAGTAGTCACTCATAATATTACTAGCTTCAAATGATGATACGTGATGGACAAACAAACCACTAAGTACCACATCAATTAATAGATTTATAGTTTGTGTACTACATTAGAGATTTTTAAAGTTTAGTTCTTATATTAAATATTTCACTATAGTTTAAGAATCATTCATGTTATTAACCCATTAAAAAACAAATCAAACAATGCTGTCTCAATAATAATCAGTTACTTGGACCTAATTCTACCAAGGTCATTTAACATAAGCTATTGGATAATGACTTCAAACTAGCATTGAGGTAGAAAAAATTTTCAGGTGAAGAACCGGATATGTTGCCAAACTCTAGCGCCTAGATATTTCACCACCTAGTTTATGCAGAAACTTTGTCAGAAGAGAATTTTCTAATTTAAATTT